TGTTGAAGCACGTTTCGGTATTTGACTTTGCGCAGAAGGGCAAAGTAATCTTTATCCCTCTGTCTCGAACGCGCCATGCCATCAACACTGGCGCGGAAAGTCCGATTCGCCAAAAACCATATCGTGTTTCCCCGTCAGAAAGACCAATTATCAACGACCAAGTGCAGGAAATGATGCAAAAGGGAGTGGTACAAGAGTCAGCCAGTCCGTGGGCAGCACCGGTAATCCTTGTTAAGAAGAAAGATGAATCTTGGAGATTTTGCGTCGACTATCGCCGACTGAATGCCGTGACTAAAAAGGATGTATACCCGCTGCCCCGTATAGAGGACGCAACAGACTGCTTACATTCGGACTCTTATTTTTCCTCCGTAGACCTATGATCCAGTTATTGGCAAATTCCGATGCGCCCAGAGGATAAGGAAAAAACTGCATTTGTAACCCCTGATTGGCTCTTTGAATTCAACGTGATGCCATTTGGACTGTGCAATGCACCAGCAAAGTTCGAGAGGTTTATGGACACCATTCTGCGTGGCTTGAAGTGGAACATATGCATGTGCTACCTCGACGACGTCGTCATCTTTGGCTGCGCGTTCAGTGAACACAACTCTCGTCTGGATACTGTTTTGAACTGCATCCGAAATGCTGGCCTAATTTTAAACCCAAAGAAGTGCCACGTCAGAGACCGCCAGACGCTTGTGCTTGGGCATCTCGTTGACAAGGATGGCATCCGCCCTGACCCCAAGAAGACAGCAGCAGTTCGGGCGTTCATTGCGCCGCGTTCCGTCAAGGAGCTTCGTAGTTTCCTGGGGCATTGTTCGTACTTCCGCCACTTTATTCCAAAGTTTGCCGACGTTGCGTATCCTCTCACATGCCTCTTACGAAGAGACAATTCCTTTGAGTGGACTCCGGAGTGCGATTCTTCATTCCGTCAATTGAAGTTTTTGCATACGTCACAACCCGTCCTTCAGCATTTCAGTCCTTCTGCTCCGACAGAGCTTCATACGGATGCTAGCGGCATAGGTATTGGAGCCGTCCTAGTACAACGTAACGGCGACCTCAAACACGTCATCGCATACGAACGTCGCTCCCTAAGCAGGCCGGAACAAAACTACACTGTTACGGAACAAGAATACCTAGCGGTATTATTTTCAATTCGGCGGTTTAGGTCTTACCTGTAAGGACGCCCATTCACAGTCGTAACCGACCACCACTCGTTGTGTTGGCTTGTCAACCTTCGTGACCCTTGTGGCCGCCTTGCGCGCTGGGCACTCCGGCTACAAGAATACCGTTTTACCGTCACTTACAAGAATGGTCGTCGACATGCTGACGTGGACTGTCTTTCACGTATGCCACTTAGCACAACGGACTGTGAATCCGATGACCTTCACCAGCTTGTAGCGTCTGTGTCGCCTACGTTCCCGGACTATCCCAGTTTCAGAGCAGAACAGCGGAAGGAAGCTAAACTAGCACCACAATCCACCGCTGCATCCGCTCCCACTAGTGCACGCCGTTTCTGTATGCGTGATAGACTGTTGTTCAAAAGGAACCTCTCCAGCAGTGGCACGCGTTTCCTTCTAGTGGTCCCGGAGAGCCTGCGAACAGTTATTATGAGTGTCATGCACGACGACCCTACATCTGGACATTTAGGTTTGGCGCGGACACTTCACCGGACTAAAGAGCGCTTTTATTGGCCTGGTATGCAAAAGTCTGTTGAGAGTTATGTGGCAAGTTGCATGCGATGTCAGCGTCACAAACGTCCATCAACTGGTCCAGCTCGTCTTCTACAGCCGATGGCTACTCCAAGCGCACCTTTCGAACAAGTGGAGATTGACTTTCTGGGTCCCTTTCCAAAATCGGCTAAGGGCAACCGATGGATAATTGCTTGCGTCGACTACCACACACGCTACTGCGAGACGGCGGCCGTCCCCTCCGCAACTGCCTGTGAAGTCTCTTCGTTTTTGTTACAGTACGTCATCCTCCGACACGCAACACCTCGACTGATTATCAGCGATTGTGGACGATAATTCACAGCGGATGTCGTGGAGGAGCTACTCCGTTTATGTGAATCCCGCCTGCGTCACTCGACACCATACCACCCCCAAACTAATGGGCTGACGGAGCGTACCAACCACACCATTATCAACATGTTGTCTATGTATGTCTCCTGCGACATAAGAATTGGGATGACGTACTCCCGTTCACTACTTACGCGTTCAACACCGCGAGGCATGAGATTACAGGTTAGAGCCCTTTCTTTTTCCTTTATGCACGTTCGCCCCGGCACACAATCGACCCAGTATTACCTTTTTGTGATCACGACAACGTCCCTGTCGCCGAGATTCTCTGCCTCGCCGAAGAGGCACGTCGCATAGCTCGACTACGCACATTGGCATCGCAAGACAAAGCGAAGGCACGCTATGACATTCAGCATCGACCAGTGATTTATCGCCGTGGTGATCTGGTGTGGTTGTGGACTCCGATGAGCAAGCGCGGGTTATGCCAAAAGTTTTTGGCCACTTACGATAGACCTTTTGTCATTGTCGACAGACTTACAGAGGTCAACTATGTAATAGCTCGTCTCTCGGCGAGTGGTCGACGAGCTGCTAAAACTCAAGTGGTTTATGTTGCCCGTCTGAAACTGTACACGCCACGACAACTCGACTGACTCGTCCGGCGGTCTTCGTCTGCGCGGAGAGGAATGTTGCGCACATGCACGAAGACAAAGAAGCGTATACGGTGAACGCACTTGTCGCCGAGGGCGAGAAAAGAAGAAGAGGATCAGGAGGATCTTTAACCAGTTGGCTGCTTCTGGACTGCCCCTCACGACCTAATAAACGGCCCCTTTCAACGTCTACCAGTCTCTTTCAAACGTAACAATACATACATACATACATACATACATACATACATACATACATACATACATACATACATACATACATACATACATACATACATACATACATACATACATACATACATGAGGGACGCATGACCCATGGCTTACGGCTTAGTGGTTATCGTTTTGCGCTGAGGTGTGCGAGGTCGCTGGTTCGACGCCCCGCTGCGAACTTCTCCTTCTCGTTTTTTCCCTTCCAATCTGTTATTAAATATTTCATAACGTCATATTCGTGACGGAAATACGTCACAAAGTAGTGGGAACCCTAGCATAAACATTTTGTGTTCAAAACGACCGCCCAAATTGATTCTGCTCGCTAAGCTTACATTGGTGTAACGAAGTAATACTTCTGAAGGGCCTCCGATCACTCCATCAAATTGTTCACAGACTACATACCTATTTCGCTAATGAAACTTAGACGCAAACATGTTGAAGTTGTTTCAGGAAAAAACAACACTAGGTGTATTCGGACACTTTCCTATATGAGCACTATAGGACAAACACTTGGGCGAGTTGGCACCGGCTGATACTTCAGTGTAACCGCATATTACAATATAACAACCAGACTAAAAGGTGAGGAGCAGTGCTGATGTGTGCGTGTGTGTGCGTGTGTGTGTGTGTGCATGTGTGCGTGCGTGTGCGTGTGCGTGTGTGTGTGTGTGTGTGCGTGTGTGTGTGTGTGTGTGTGTGCGTGTGTGCGTGTGTGTGCGTGTGTGTGCGTGTGTGCGTGTGTGTGTGTGTTTGTGTGCTTGTGTGTTTGTGTGTGTGTGTGTGTTTGTGTGCGTGTGTGTGTGTGCGCGTGTGTGTGTGTGCGTGTGTGTGTGTTTGTGTGTGTGCATGTGTGCGTGTGTGTGCGTGTGTGCGTGTGTGTGTTTGTGTGTGTGTGCTTGTGTGTGTGCAAGTGTGTGTGTGTGTGCCTGTGCGTGCGTGTGCGTGTGTGTGCGTGTGTGTGTGCGTGTGTGTGTGCCACTTGTGTGTGCGTGTGTGTGTGCGTGTGTGTTTGCGTTTGTGTGTGTGTGCGTGTGTTTGTGCGTGTGTTTGAGCGTGTGTGTGCGTGTGTGTGCGTGTGTGTGTGTGCGTGTTTGTGTGTATGCGTGTGTGTGCTTTTGTGTTTGTGTGTGTGTGCGTGTGTGTGTGTGTGCGTGCGTGCGTGCGTGTGTGTGTGTGCGCGCGTGTGTGTGTGTGCGTGCGTGTGTGTGTTTGTGTGTGTGCATGTGTGCGTGTGTGTGCGTGTGTGCGTGTGTGTGTGTGCATGTGTGCGTGTGTGCGTGTGTGTGTTTGTGTGTGTGTGCTTGTGTGTGTGCTTGTGTGTGTGCTTGTGTGTGTGCTTGTGTGTGTGTGCATGTGTGTGTGCGAGTGTGTGTGTGTGTGTGTGTGTGTGCCTGTGCGTGCGTGTGCGTGTGTGTGCGTGTGTGTGGGTGCGTGTGTGTGTGTCACTTGTGTGTGCGTGTGTGTTTGCGTTTGCGTGTGTGTGCATGTGTGTGCGTGTGTTTGTGCGTGTGTTTGACCGTGTGTGTGCGTGTGTGTGCGTGTGTGCGTGTGTGAGTGTGCGTGTGTGTGTGTGTGCGTGTGTGTGTGAAGTTCGTTGTTTCCTCGTTTTTTGTTTCCTCGTTTTTGTGGGCGTTTACCGGTTCTAATCATGGATTACCAACGTGCCCAGATGTCCAGCTTGGTGAATCCAGATGTGTTCTTGTAGTGCGCTATTACAAAGAAGAGTTCATTATCAGCCATCATTGTATCAGTGTTCGTGATTAAAAGCAGCTGTAGTGGTTCCGACGAAAATGGTTCAAAACCACTGTCTTATTTGCTGTGACAAATTAATGGGGCAGCTAAGCCATCAACGTGCCAACATGGCATTGTCTAATAGACTCCAGAATACTTTTGCCGTATGGAGCATTGCCATAAAGTTGGCCAGATTCGTACGTCAGCCACAGAAGAGCTCTCACTTTTAGGTATTAACGTTGCGAGTCAGACTTTACTGTGAGGTGTGATCTTCAAGTCATTTCTGGCTCGGCTTGCGTTTCATCGCATGAAGCGGAGGTAGATTAGAGAGCTGAGGTAGCATTTAAGCGCATATAAATAAAAAGAAGTGGTAGCTAACCTGAACGAGTGCCATGTTGCCAACCGCAATGTGCCACACTTTCCTTGGAGAGTCCATGTTACCCAGGTTGGCTTGCGTCGACAGCCTTGCCGCTAGCGTCATCTCCAGGTTGCCTTTGAGGCCTAGAAGCGGAGGCACCACGATGAACAGCTCTGTGACGTGCTCGAATGGAGGCCAGAACTGAACCGTGTCGAGAATAAGTCCCGCAAACACCGTGCCGAGTCCGCCCAGGAAGAACGGCACAGCCGCTTGCTTGAAAATGCTGAGTAAAGACTCTTCGCTGGACGACGCCACTAAGGAGCGCTTTTTCCTGGCAGAGCAGTCATCCTCCGGCTTTAGACGCGCTGCGCTGGACTCGTTCAGGTTCTCGTCGGTTAGCGCTGCGCAGTTCTCCGAGTAGCAGATTCCTTTCCGGAAGACGCATTCTTCGCCGTCCCTGTAGCATACGACGCTTGCCCTCCTCGAGCCGCCTTCCGGTGCATGGCACGACATGCTGTTACTGTAGACCTGTTGTTGTGGTTTCACCACTTCAGGTGAGCGGTCCTTTCGGGTGTGGCCATTGCAGAAGGCGACGTTTTCGTGAGAGGCGTCATGCGACGCTCTCCGAGATTCGTGCTTGTACTCCGCCATGACGCCGTTGCGGTTGTTCATGTCTGCATTCAGTGTGCCTTGCTCAGCCCCCCGGGTTCCTGCAGCAAAAAAAAGCCGCATTGGTTTGCTCGCCCCGACTGCGCTAGCTAACAATGCCCACGTCTGACGCTTGGCAGAGCGTCTTCCGAAAAGAGAGTGCTCGCCTCGTGCGCGGCGATGATTGATGCGCAAACGACATGACGAAACTCTTGCCACTCCATTGGCGGCGACATCTCTGAGCGCTCTCACGTGTCACGAATTGATGTCGTACGGTCGCAGCGACGTCATTCCATTGCGCGGAGCGAGTCTTCTACTACACAGGAAAGTCTACCAATAAGTAAGTAATGATCTAACACATGTGTTACTGGCTCTGCAGATGCTGTATGCACTTTTCACATATTGTGCTCGAGTGGAACATTCGTTAAAACTTTAGTAGAGTAGTGATAAAACCTCATTCTATTCATACACGTGACTTCAACGTCATCTTAAGGAATGCAACATCTCACGAAGGTGACATATAAATGCAAGCAAACGTCAGAAGTTTCACGTAATTGAATGTTTATGAACTACGACTACCAATGCTTTCATTCATTCATTCATTCATTCATTCATTCATTCATTCATTCATTCATTACACCTGAATTCCATCACGGAAATTGCTTCCGCAACAATAAAAAAGCAGTGAAATATTTTGTGATACGCGAGTTGTGCTGGCCCTGGTTACGTGAAAAGCGTTGTGTTGGCTACTCCGTCACGCATAATGTGCTGTGAGATGAAGGATCACTTGGACCTAAAGAAGTCGAATAGGCTGCCTGAAAGGCAGATGCAGGCCATTGCGTTACAATGTACAGGCGCAAGAAGACGAAATTCTGTTTACAGAACGGTGACAGGTCCTACTACCATACTGCATAGTCGGAATGAATAACTGTAGTTTCAATGTGCAAGTAAGTACGGCTATTTAGAATGAAGTGACAATTGCATATTACATGACAGCATTGTAAACGGCGTGTGCGTGTTCGACCCGACGTTTTAGCCGAAAAAAATGACCTTTCAAATGCAGCAATAAATAAATGAATGAATGAATGAAAGAATAAACCAATGAATAAAGGAATAAGTAAATAAATAAATAGAGGTGCCACATGTCCCCGTTCACGAATTTCCCATCGCGAAATTCCATCTTCCCCTTTCTGTCTTTGTATAGCATGTTAGCTAAATTAGCTTTACGAAGATCAGAAATTTAAGTACTATATACCAGGCAGGCGAAATAAAGTTTGTAGTCATTTGATTATTGAGTTTCATTTTATGACACTGTTTTTGTATAATTTCGCCATTTGTATGTACTATATGTGCCACATTTAAATATATGACACTTTGTTTCTCCAGTTGTACGCTGTTATCTGCTGTACACGTAATTCTAGGAGTCTAGTCGGGTGTACATAGACACACCTGTAGGTTTGATCTCATGGCAATTCGTGACCTTCTATGTATTCTCGAAGTGTCAGAAAACACCAACTTTAGCTTTATGGACCGTAACACTGCTGTAGCAGGAGTACTTACAAAGACTTTGTTTGTAAACAGACAATTGGAAATGATTAGAAATGAATGATTATAACATAATATAGGTAAGCGTATATATAGATGAATTACATTCGGATATTTTTTTCCAGTATACGGCCTGTATGAAGCTCAAAGAAGAAGCTATCGTATTCAAGATTAGGTCGATGAAAGGATGTGAAGGCTCCACCGAGCAATGAAACGTAGTAAAGCCAGTCTACTCTAAATAAGTAAGACAAATAAATTAGGAGCTACATATTAAATGCGAGCAAGTTAACGAAACGAGGCCACAAGCTTACCACGACAAGCACATCGTGCAACGTGCTTGTCTTCGTACGCTTGTGTCTGCGCTTTTGTTAACAAGCTCGCATTTCAAGCATTGTGAATCACCACCTCTCTCATTCAGCCATGGCAGTACGAGGTAGTTATTACCGAAGGAATGTTTATGCAATATTAGTTAAATGGCGCTGTTATTATTCAGGGGACGAAGAAGGGAAGAAAGCACCCAGGATTGTGCAAAAGCTTGTAGGCGAACTAGTTGTCTAGAAAATAGGTTCTGAAATTGAATTCATGGTGCTCTTCTGTAAAAAACTTAGAACAAGCGATATGCTACTTCAGATACTGAGAATATCTGTGACTAAAGTCTAAGACACCTGGTTTGTATGCAAACTCAAATGCTAACAGCAAATCAACACACCAGAATTATAAGGTGACACGCAATAGAGGCACCCGTGCTCGGCCACGAAAAAAATCGCCGCCGATTACAATAACGTGTAATGCGAGTTATTAGTGCCGCTTCGTGTTGAGACAAATGAGTTTGTAGTTTTGGCTATCCACTGTCGTAGCAATGCAGTGTATTTATATATTGGCTCGGGAAGGGCCCGCACTCGAGTGGTTCGCACACCAGTCTGCGCACTCGAGGCGTCACGACCCAAGCGAAGCACCCCGTTACAAGCAAAGCCGGCCGCAGCGCCAACCCTTGCTCCGATTGCGAGGCCTGTGTGCGCGACGGAGGAAACAAAGCGAGGCAGACTTCGCTCTCTTCCGTTCGTTGTATCGTGAAGGCTGGCGACGTCGCTGAACCAGAGCTTGAGAGCAGCGCTCTACAGTCGTACTTTCATTCGGACGAACTCACGTGTCGACATTTACTGCATACAACAGTGTAAAAGTTGACGAGGTGCAGCCAATATTTTTTCGCAAGTGGTTTTACTAGAAATGGTATACGACGTCACAATTTAGAACCCACTGCATGACATTTTTCAGTGCATGAGCGATGATCGATTGATATGTTAGATTTAACGTCTCAAAACACTACACCACACGATTATGAGAGACGCCGTAGTGGAGGGCTCCGGAAATTTCGACCACCTGGGGTTCTTTAATGTGCGCCAATATCTGAGCACACGGGTCTAGAGCATTTTCGCTTCCATCGAAAATGCAGCCGCCGCAGCCGGCATTTGAACCAGCGACCTGCGGGTCAGCAGCCGAGTACCTTAGCCACTAGACCACCGTGGCGGGGCAGCGCTACAGAGTACAACAAAACCAGGCATCACACAATATGAATAGCGTAACAAGTAGGTGGCTTAAAAGTTCCCAACCATTACAAAAGTTTCAGCCATAATTTGTCTTCATTTGTGCTAGTTTGTCGCCTTACAAACGCGTGTTTGTTAGCTCACTACTTCGCAAGTGATGAATTAAATCATAAGGGTAATTCACTACATAACGAAATGCGGACAATTACAGCATATTTGGTACCTAAAAAGCACACTTATGTGAAAAGTGTCAACTGCGTTCATGTCGGAACAGCGAGAACACCGCTCCGGCAAGTATACTATAGGTTGCCGGCACCCTGTAGCCCGGTCACAACCAATCACCGCCACTGGCACAATAGCGTTACGTGTGCAACGCCATGCCGAACCTTGCCCCTCATTCAAAATTCATGGCGGAGGTATGATTCCATCGGAAGTTCATGGTCAGGTCACGTAACCCGGAGCTGTCTAGGTGGTAGTAAACTTTTTTTACAGCGGACGACGAAGGCCACCTTGGCGGCTGCGGCCCCTAATGCCGCATCAAGTTAGTCGCCAACCATTTAAAGTTCCACTGCGCCCGCAGGATATTATAGGGTGAGAGCCTTAGATGCCTCATCAGGCGCCAAAAGTGACCGCTGGCGTGAGAGTCCCGCGGCGTAGGCGTCAACACCAGTGCTAATGAAAAATCATCACGTGACTGATGACTGTTGACGTCAGAAATTCTCTAAATTTGTGGCGACATCGTCAAGAAGTCAGGTGATGACGTCATCGTGTGACGTCAACGCTTGGTTAAAAGGGTCTTCCGTGGTGCTAGGCTGCTGACCTGAAAGTCGCGGGTTCGATCCCGGACAAGGCGGTCGCACTTCAGTGGAGGCTCACGTACTCTCACTGCATCTTAAAGAAGATAGGAGGGTTGAAATTCCTGAACAAATTCGATGAGCTCCTATATCTTCCCAAACTGAAGCGCTTCGCAGTATTTTGTTTCATTATCTTAATATTTTCGACATCAATAGGCCACACAAGCGTCGTAGCCCTCCGTATCTGCACCGGCTACGCCAGTCCCTTTAACAAACGCCCTTAACGCGTGTGGCACGCTGAGCGCCAAATTATCCGGTAGGAGGTGCAGAAAATGCTGGAAAAAGACTTCATGGAGCCTTCACATGGAGCCTTCATCTATAGCCCTTGGGCTATTCATGTGGTACTAGTTGAAAAGTAAAGGACAACAGCTGGCACTTTTGCGTTGACAATCATCATCTCAACCGGATAACCGAAAAAGACCTCAGGCACACACAGCATGTGTAGCTTTGAGAAACTAAATCTTATCACACCGTACTAGCCTCGCCTAAAGACTCAGTATCCTATTTGACAACATGATACTTCGAACTTTCAACTATGCACTGAAATTGCTTTATTTCTGTGGTATCCACGCGTCTTCCTTGCTCAGAACACGCCCAAACCGAATGTCTAGACCTGCAGGCACACATGTGTACTTAAAATTAGATGCACGTTAAAGAACCGCAGGTGCTCAAAATTTCCAGTGCCCTAAACTACGGTGTCCGTTATAGTCAAATCGTAGTTCTGGGACGGTAAAGCCCAGATTATTACACGCACAAGTCTTGCGCTCCAAGACCACATCTTTTGTGAAGCGTGAACCGCGCAGGAAATTAGACTCTAAATTGCGAGAAGTTGAATTCACGCCGTCTGAAAATTGACGAACCAGAACATGAACAACGCCACAGCATTAGACGTTTACTTATCGTGCAACTTTTACAAACGCTCTGCTCTGCTTTTCAAACTCGGAAGGTGCGCAAGCTGTTGCCCGCAATGGTTCGTTATAGGCACTCATGGCTGACCATATTTTGACTCCCGCTCCGCCCAACGAATCGGGGTTTGCGCCACTCCTCAAGCGCTAGACGGTCAGGCGCTGAGCGTGTTAGCGGGCCGTCGTAGCTAGCGAAGGATCACGTGACGCGAAG